CCATCCATCCATCCATCTATCCATCCATCTATCCATCCATCCATCCATCCATCCATCCATCTATCCATCCATCTATCCATCCATCCATCCATCTATCCATCTATCCATCCATCTATCCATCCATCCATCCATCTATCCATCTATCCATCCATCTATCCATCCATCCATCCATCCACCCATCTATCCATCCATCCATCCATCTATCCATCTATCCATCCATCTATCCATCCATCCATCCATCTAGCCATCCATCCATCCATCTTTCCATCCATCCATCCATCCATCCATCCATCTATTCTTTGTATATGTACAATGCAATATAGGCACCAGAATCATTTGCTTAATGTGTGCAATATATACACATTAAGCAAATGATTGTGGTGAAACAGACGCTTCCTGTCCAATAATCTGATTATGTGATAAAAAAACAAAACAAAATAACATTGGATCAAAAAAAATTAACATATCTAAGCGACTGATAAAGAAATCATACTTCCTGTATGTCACCGTCTGTTATGCGATGTCTGTAATATGTAAACACATCCACTCACTGATGTATGTGTATATCACTCGCGTTCCCTCTGTGGTACGATGTCATGTCAGGAGCTACAGGTCACGCACTCTCATCACGTTCACGGCTTCACCGACGGACAGCTCGTGTTCATTACAGCACAAGATGAGCTACGAACACACACAAACACACACTGGAGATGAACAAACAGGATAGTAGCCAGTAGATCCCCCCCTCAGAGACTACATTTACTTTATGTCTAACTTTAAATCTCACTCCTCTCTGATCTTACCTGTGCAGCAGCTCTCCAGCCAGCATCCAGTGTAGGGCTCAGTCCGTGGACAGTGTAACTGAAGCTGTGGCCGCCAAAGCTCTGTGGGCGTTTACTGGCCTGGACTCACAGAGAGACTCCCATGGTGGAGCATGTGCTACACCGTCACCTCCTCCAACTCTTTGGGTCAATACAACAGCCTGGAGGTGCAGCCTAGTCCGACCATGTGACACACATACGCCCATACGCAAGTGCTGTCCCTCGATAAAAGAGCAAATGAAGACCAGAATTAGATTTTGCCACAGCGGCTGTCCCCTCTTCAGGGCAGTCAGAAATCAAACTACTGACCTTTGGGTAAATGGATAAACCACTCCACCAGAACAAATAATGGTCTGCAGCCACATTTAAAAACAATGATCTTCTTTTTTTTTTTTTTTTGCACACGTTCTCCACCAACCCGCACATGATCGTTTTGAAAACATTTTTTTTTTTAAATGGTCAAAATACACAGGGCCAATAGTCTTCGTGAAATCAACATATGTTTAAGTTCCATCTCAATAATACAATATATTTACACTGAAAACACCAAATATATATTTTACTCTTGGTATATGGCTACTACTTCACAATAGAAAATAATATAATATATTTAACTATATATATCTGTATATACAGATATCTATATATATATTAGAGGTATTATCTTTTTAACAATATTGTGATACGCAGATATTGTCCAAACTCAATTTTCAATTCCGATATCAACCAAAACCGATACATGCCTGGTAATATTTTTTTTAGTATTTGTACAAACCACTGTACGAGTATGAGATTAATTAAATTAGCTGCAATGCTGCCATCTAGTGACCTTCGCTTTAATATACATTAGTTTATCCCCAAAACTATTTTTAGGGCACACATCGTTTGCCAATAACGAGGTTTTTCCTCCGATGATGAGAACCCAATAACGATTCTTACATTACGTATTACATAATATGCTAATATCGGGCTGAGAATATCAGTCGGCCGATATTATCGGACACCCCCGATATATTGCTATTTGTATCAATAATATATTTCAAATAAATAAAGAGAATGACCAAGCCTACAAACCCATTACTTGTTTTGTACCTTTATCAAATTCAGTTTGCGATACTCAAATCTTTAAGGACATTCCGTCACCTACAGGTCAAAGGACTGGGCTTGTGATCCGAGTATGGCTAGCTGCTTGTTCAGTTAAGTGTAGCCCATCTGTCCTACGGTCTGAAAATTTTTTATTTATTTTACTGCAAATAATCTGTCTTTGTTCGTTTATGCGACAGTAACAGAGAGAACAATTAAATTCTCTTCCACTAGGTGGCCTCAGATGGCTATAAAAACAAACCAGGAGAGCGTTAGAGTTGAAAATATTTGAGTGTCTTTCTTCAATTCCTGCGAGTGTATCGCTGTTATGTTCAACTAAACGGGCACAGGCTTCACAGTAAATAAGTAAATTGTGAGTAAATTGAAATTAGCAGATCGTTATACTTCGCGAAATATACTTTGGTGACATTTGTGGTGGTACTCCGGTTATTAAGTTATTGTGAGAATCATACATCACAGAAATTAATACTTGCCCAAGTACTTTAATACTGCTGTTGAAGTGGTTTAAAGGATTGCCAGTTTGAATCCTGGCCATGGCAGAAGATGCTAGCGCTACCGAGTGTCTGGTGTTAATTACTGGGTCATTTTAAAGAAGGGTTGAATGCTGAGAGCAATTTCCCAGGACGACTGAAATATTTGTGTCAAAAAAAAAAAAAAAAAAATCAACAATAAGTTTTAAAGGTCACAACAGTACGAAAGTTCGCATTGTCATAAGAGCATCATAATTACAGTTTATCAAGAGATCAGTGAGGTCAGTTTCTCATAGCTGCAACACATCAAAAGATGAAAGCCGCACGCAAACATCGAACCCGACAACAGGCGGCCGTGGGATTCGTTTTAGCCAGAATAACTTTGCCGAAGCGAGAATAGCAGGGTGTAAATGAATGAATATAAATGAACCACCAGCAGCGACACAACCACATTTCCCATGTAAATCCATCTGTACTCACAAATTACAGACAACCAGGGTAAAGATGAACAGAGAAGAAGAGGAAAAAATCATCCCAGTCCTGGACACGGTCAAAACCTAAGAGTTTTCACACCAGGCAGTATAAAAGAAAAAAATCTGGCAGCTCCGTTTATATACGGCAAAACTAGGTTACTTTTAATCACACTGCTGCAGTCAAGAACAATGTGTATTTGTAGAGCGCTTTTCCTCCTCGATCACCGACCAATGGGCTTTTAACACACACGTTCTGCAGCCCTGTGAACGTGTGTGTGAAGACCATCTGTTTACACACACACACACACACACACACACTGGCGTACGGCCGTTTCTAATCACCCCACAGTTTCCATCCCCTGCTTTTTATACCCGTTCAAACGACGCGGGACAGAGACGGTGTTGCGTTCGCAAAAAACCCACAGTGGATCCTGCGCAGCTTACCTCATCTGAGACCCCGATGTCCCTTAATGTACAAATCCACCGAGGTCCACCAGGAGCCACAACCGTCCTGCCAACTCTGGCATCGCTGTCCACTGGTCCGTACGGTATCCCAGAGTTTGCCGGTCCTTTTGTCTGATGACCCTGTGTCTCTGCGAAGCCTTTTGTCTCGGGGGGCCTTTTCAGCACTGCTACACATTCAGCCACAACTGATCCCCACACTGTCTGTGTGTGTAGCAGTGTGTTGTTTGTCTAAATGGCCACTAGACTTCCTCCAATTCTTTCCAAACTTAGTTTTCCTGCCTGCGTGGCTCGGTTTCCTTGGACTGAGCTAAATATAGGGAACACACAAGGTAAAGTGGAAAAGAGCAGAGCAGGAAATGAATCACAATCCCAATCCCGTGCACACGTTCGTGTTTGTTTCTGTGTCGTCTTCCCTGCCCGTAATGTGTCCAGTGACATGTACGCAGAGGGCAGAGTTGAAATCACTCGACGAGCATTACCGTCTGTTACCTAACTGTCCCCGTGTGTTCACGTGTGTTCACGGGTGCGACAGAGAAACACATGCGTGTGTGTGTGTGTGTGCTTGTGCATTGTTTTGTTGTCCGTGTGCCTTGTCCCCTGTTTCCATCCAATGACGCTGTGCACATTGTTTTGTCTCTGAACTTCTAAAAATGTCTGCCCAAACAAAAACAGACTGACGCCACATCCTGCAGCGTGCTTTGAACAAAAAAAAAAAAAACGATCTGACCTCCATCACACACCTTCCCAACTCCTGTAGGGTCACTAGAACCTCACTGGCGTTTCTGCATGACGCAAAACAGACCGATGTTTTCAAAAACCGTTGTGCATCATCAGCAAATTATTAAATATGAATATAAACATTAATGATATTTCAGCTTTATATGGCTTTTTTTTCCCTCGTGTCCCTTTAATCAGAGAATGAGGAATTTTACAGTAATAACAATTATGTCAAGATTACCACATTAATCACAGTGAGTCATTCGCAAAGATTATTCTGATGACATTTTCATAGCATTGCATTTTCAAAGTGGGGGCTAAAAGGAAGAGCCTCGGAAAATTGGAGGCAAAGTAAGCGATACATGCAGAAAAATAATCACATTTTTAAAAATTTAAAAAATGTTTTCTATAACCATTTATCCCGAAATGTAAACATAATCTGCCGTCATCTTCACATAAACAAGTTGTATATGGTACCTGAACACACCTCGTGTGACGGCTGCAACCGGTTTGTGTCTGTTATCAAGCTGCTCAGCTTCTCAAGCTAGCATAGAGAAAAATAGCTATAGAGAAAAGTCAGAAACAAAATAAAATCAAAAAAAAAAAAAATGTTAAAAGAGATATTTAAAACTGTCCGACCCCATGTACTCCCTTGGCCTAACTAGCCAATATTACACCGAGTAAGCATTGTATTAGCCAACAGTATGCTGTGTACGATATCGTCTAAGTAAACAAAGTTTACCAGCGCTCGTTCGCTAATGCTTCGCAAATAATTTTTAGAGCCAAAAAAGGAAAAGAATTCAAATGTATTAAAAAAAAAATCTGCGATGTACTGATGTAGCGAAAGGAGAACCGCTACACAGAGAGGAGACACTGTATTATGTTATTTAGTCATTCAATATGAAATGCACTGTTACTGTTGTTGATCTTATTACATTACGCAAGGGTCTTTTTTTTTTTGTCCCTACCTATCACGACAGAGACTTTGTTTATTAACATCTAAACTCTAAGCAGGTCAAGTCTGAGAATAGACAGCTGAACGTGTGTTTGAGCATCTGCACATGGAACTCAGATTTGTTGAAGTCACCACATACCCAGCAGAAATGAAGAAGACAAACCAGATTTTTGTGCTGTTCTGCACGTGTCCACTCGGTCCACTCTGTTTTGTCACGGAGCTGTGGAAGAGAACAGAGAGAAGCTGGGCATGGTTGTCACAATCGCTCAACATCGGCCTTTGAGTAAAAACATAAAAAGTCACAATCCATACAAACCGAAAAAAAAAAAAAAAACTTGGAAAGTTAAGCGTAAATAAAGACGTATTTGACCTTTATGTGGCAGTTGCCCTGGAGCGTGAGACGCTTTTCATCTTCCAGCCAGCACTGATCTGAAGTCTGACGTCCATAAATTGGACATGAACTTCTATGGACAATGGGAAACCCCTGTCCGCTGTGGGGGGAAACATGTGATATGAGTGAGAGCCTCGTCGCGCAGTGGCTGTAGAGGAGTCATTGTTGGACGGACAGTTGGAGAAACATGTGATATGAGTCGCAGAGTGGCTGTACAGGAGTCATTGTTGGACGGACAGTTGGACATTTATGAAAGGTTCAATAAAGATGGGTCTTACCGTTGTATCCAGAGAACAAACTTCAAACTCCTACAGGGTTGAAACATGTATGTACGTACATAGGGACAGGACAACCAGCATAAATATCACAACTTGTTTAATACCAAGGAGTTGGATGTACATTGTTTATGAATTCTTAGAAAAAAAAAAAAGAAAAAAAAAGCTATTTATCCATGTACTAATTCCAAACACATCAGCTGTGTTCTCTGCTCTTCTGTTTAAATGTACACAATGTTTCCTCTCTCTCTCTCTCTCTCTCCCATCGCTGTCCCATAGCAGCTTTGCCACCCGGCAAGACTTAGCAGTGAACGTATTTAAGAGAAGTGAAAAAAAAAAAACCGTCTCGGCTGTCCTAAAGAATGTAGACACAGAGGGGAGAAGGAGCGTCGCTCCGCAGACACCGTCGGACTCTGGCAACATAGCGTTATGAAGTAACAGGCTTTTCCGTTTTTGACAGACAGAGGGATGGCGAGAGGAGGAAGAGGAGGAGCGGACAGCTGACCTCTCTTCACAGAATTAAATATCCACAATCACTCCGATAGGGTACAAATAAATCTGGATTCCCCGCAGCACAAATGTCCATAGGGTTTGTCAATTTGCTAAATGAGTTAAAACGGCCTTACGTGACATGTAAATCTCCATTTTATAAAATAAAATAAGAAACAAATGTAGAAAAGCAACGGACAAAAACAAAGAAAAAAAAACATACATTTTATACAATTCTGTGTTTTATCACCAACATATGGTATGCACCAAATAGTAGATAAGGCTGAATCATCACCTCAAGTAAATTACTGTTTCTTTTTTTATTTTGTATTTATTTTATACAGTGCAGAGTATACGGGCTTTGATTAGGTATGAGTGTGTGTCTGTGTGTGTGTGTGTGTGTGAGTGTGTTGTATTTCTATACTTATAAGGAACTAATCGTTGACGTGATCTGCCAAAACAAATTTCCGATTTTTCGACGTGTGCTTGAAGAGGTTACCTACTCGTAAATATCTAATGCTAACGACGACATCGCCGACCGAGACGCCAACTACGCACAGGCTCGGTGACGTCACCGCTGCCATCGGGGTCACGGAGGTTCCGCATGTTGCATAATTAGCACTACGATAAACTGAGTTTAGCTCAGAAGACGGGCTCACCGTTTTGAACGTTTCTGTGTCTTAATGTTCGGCTGCCATGGCTAACAGTGAACTGAAGTGTGTGTTGTTGTGTAAATATCTCTTTAAAAAACATTACAACTTTAAGAGTGCTGACAAATTCAACCTAAACATTACTTTAAGAGTGCTGACAAATTCAACCTTGTTACCTGAGCCATGAACTTCGTTTTTAGTGGTAAGGCATAGATAGTAAACGGCTATATTAGCATTGTGCTAGCTATTGAGACAGCATAACAGATTGATTTAAAGCTCTTATCGAGCCATGTGTCCGCTGTGCTGGTTTTGTTAGAAATAACAGTGCCTACTTTGGTTCGACTTGCTTTGGATTTTAAGAAATTACTCATAATATTTTTTTTACAGTTAAGGCTAAGTTTCAGAAATGACATCCCGTTAAATGATAAAGACTTTGTCTAATTGCTAAATAAATGCAGAACATGGAACTTTCCAACCGTTACGACTGTAGTTAGCATGCTAATGGTATTAGCAACTGAAAACTTAGTGAGTTTTCAGGTCTTCTGCAGCTTTAAAGTTGTATTTTAAAATGAGAAATTGAACCCTTGATCTGCATCGTTCTTTTGGTTTAATAGTAAATAATGAGCTAAACATTTGCTAATCTTTTTAGCCACCAAAATACAGGGATGACATTTTGCTCTTCCTACCTTCTTCGTCCCAGTTGTTCAGGCTCATTGACTCATTGGGAAATGGCTACCACTCTATCTCTACTGTCAACCACTGCGTTTGACTGTCCTTCACAGTGTAGAGTACATCAGGAAGACAGGAATAATAACCCGAGGACTGGATGGATTTGGATCAGGACGTCTGAGATTCCTGTTTAAATAAGATCACAAATGTAACAACGACTCAACAAGTGATTCACTTTACAGTATGGAACATGGCTCGACTTAAGGATTTGTGTCAATAAAAGTGCGACGTTTATGCTGTAAAACCGATTGGTGTAATATCATATTCATAATTAAAGGTACATTACGTAATTTTGTCACCTGTAAATTTGGGTTGTTTTTTTTTTTCAGAGATCTCTGTTGAACATTGTTGCTGGATGCTAACAAACCGCCAAGCTTAACTCTCGGGTCGGCTTTCAAATGGCACAAGAAGCGGCTGAAGTCAACAGACATCCTCACAAGTATAGCAATACGAGACCTGCGCGTGTGGTTGTGTGCCTGTTGATGTGACCTATCCGCCGTCACTGTGTTCACTGTCTACGTGTTGATGTGTGCGATGTGTGTCGTGATGCTGCCTCCACGCAGTAGTTGGGCTTGTCGGAGACCATGAAGCCCGGCAGACACACGCACTGGTAGGAGCCTATCGTGTTGATGCACTTTGCGTTTTTACAAAGCGACATTCGACTGTTCAGTTCTGAGCACTCGTTCACATCTGTGGGCAGAGGGATTGGGATTACACAATCAGCGTGGCAGGGATTTATTTACGTGTTCTTCTGCTCCCTCACCAATGCAGGCCATGCGGGACAGGTCCAAGGTGTAGCCGTCGAAGCAGTCGCAGGTGTAGCCCTCCTGCACCCGAACGCATCGACCGTTCTCACATCCGTTCAATATCCCACACTCCTCGGCTCGCAAACCCTCGAAGGGTTTGTACTGATCTGTGGCAAAGAGATGCAACAAACCTCAATGCCTAATAGAGAACCCAAGGAGAACAGATGAGACTATATTCCCCTGGTGGCCTGAGGAGGTACTGCTGGTGTTTGTACTAAAATTAATTAAAAAATGAGGAACTTCCAATGGAATATGGCACGCTTGACATAAGAGTACCACTGCTGTAAATGCTTGAACAAGGCTCCAGCCACTAGGTGGCAGCAACTCAAATACAGATATGAAGAAAATATTATATATCTTGCTATTTAATTTAAACACAATAATAATAATAATAATAATTCAACAGTACATCTAACTCACTCAGAGTCCAGGTCCAGTCTTACCTAGTTTAACACATTACACAAGATGGCAGCAAAGTACTGTAAGACAAGAACTGTTTCAACTCAAAGACAATCACGCCTGCCGTCAAATTATTCCTTTTTTCAATTGTTGTTTCAAGAAATCTGTTAAACTGGAACGCACAGGAAAAAAAAAAAAAAAAACAACTCTAAATTGGGTTCAGTTAACTCCCATATTTTCCTGAGATAGAACATTCACCAATGTTCTCGAAGAAAAAGGCCGACACTTCTCTTTATACAAAAACAACAGGAGGAAATACTTACGCTCCTGGCTGTCGTAGAAGGGCAGCGCCTCTTGCTGCTCCGATGATGGATGATAGTCTGGGCTGAAGTCATATTCATGAACAGGACCAGCGGTGAGGGCATCACGGCCATAGGGACGATACCCACCACCACCACCCATGGGTAGATTACACATTCTTGCATAATCGTCTGTTGACGAGCCATGGGACAAACACAGTTACTTCCTATATGTACAATTAAATGTTTCTTTCAACAGTAACAACAGTTTTTTTCCTTGCTTGGATAAATCGACATTGGGATTTTTTGTGTATTTTTTTTTTGTGTGTGCACCTAGTACCTGTGTGTTTGTGTGTGTGTGCACCTAGTACCTGTGTGTTTCGATGGACAAAGTGCACAGTCCATGCCCCAGGCCTCTCCATACAAACAACAGCACTCCGTGTACGTACTCTTCCTGTTCTGACCCAACGGCTCCGTGCATGTCAGTGTATCTGTTACTCTTTGCCAGCAGATCCCTTGGTAGTCGATTTGCTCGCCCTCGTGTTGTTCTGTCGACACACACAAGAGAAGTTGACTACAGCTGAAGAATCGGACACAACAAATCGGTTTGTTGGATTTAATATGAATAAAATGATTTTATTTTTAGTGTGTATTTTTTTCACACTGTATATGTGATAATTCTACAGTATTTTCCGGACTACAAGCCGCTACTTTTTTTCCCCCGCGCTTTGAACCATGCGACTTATACAAAGATGCAGCTTTTCTAAGGATTTTTCTTCAGCCACCAGGGGGCGTTCTGGCAGGAAGTGCAAAGAAGAACATGCTAGTTTGGATATTGAGACACAGAAAGGACTAAAATCTCTAAAAATGAAAATCCTAGTAAAGCGACATTATTTTTGCCAAAGAGACATGTCATGTTGTGTTAACACTAAGTCCGATATCAACTATGCCGATATCGTCCAAGCACTTCATAACCGATTCCGATAATAACCGATACCGATATAGCGTTGCAGTGGTGGCCTGGTGGTTAAAGAAGTTAAGTTCCGCCTCACTAAGGTTCACTAAGGTGATGGGTTAAAACAGTGTTTGTCAATTATTTTTTGACCCCCCCTAGGGGACAAAATTAAAATACTATTGAGCGCCTGGTAGTATTTGTTTATTTATCTGTACAAACTATTGTAAGAGTTGCTGGCACTAGCAATCCTCTGATTATCAATATCGATTAGTAAAATAAGCTACAATGCTGCCATCTAGTGACTAGAGGCTTGTAAATTCGCTCATAATCTGTCGCCGGGGCATTGAAGTATTTTTAAAGCACACATAATTTGGTGAAACCCAGGTATTGCGTTATCGGGTTTTCATTATCGGAGGTAAAAAAACGGAACAATTCTTACAGACACAAAATTACAAAATAGGCTAATATCGGGGCCAATGATATTGATCGGCCGATATGATCGGATCCTTTGTAATTCCCTGGCATTCAGGTGCGTATTTTACAAAACGATCGAAACCTTTCTGTAAACTGCGAAGGTGATTTTTAATTGAGCCGACGCAGACAGACTTTGACGTGAGCTTCTCTCACCAGCCGCGTCCGACAGGAAGACACAGTGGTTTCCACTGGGATCCAGCACCATGGGGTGTGTGCAGAAACACATGTACGAGCCGTCAGTGTTCAAGCACTGTCCGCCCACACAGACGGACTCGTCCAAGCACTCGTCGATGTCTGAGGAGAAGAAAAAAAAACACAAAGAGGCATTTCAATAAAAGCGCATTAGCACCTCCAAAGGTAATAGGACGTACTGCATGTAGCTTTTATAAAATAATTTTAGTTTAGTAGTGTAATTTCTGGTCATTTATGGTACACATGCATACACATTTTTGGGGTATATACTTGGATTTTGATTTTTTTTTTTTTTTTTTACTGTTTGTTTTTTGCGTTTTTGCTTAAGTAATAAGACTTTTTTTTTGGTCCATTTTTGCTATCTTTAGATACGAAAGAATTGTTCATCTGGCTACACATCCTACGGCATAAATGTGCTTTTTAAAACATTTTTGCGGTTCCATGGTGTAGCTGTTATCATGCCTGCATAGACATCTGCCTTACACGCGGAAGGTCCTGGGTTCGAGTCCCAGACTTGGCGCCTCCGAGGGCCAGCTTTTTGCAACTGAAATCTGTTGTTAACACGATTCCCCCAGTGAGGGGTTAACAAAGTTCAAATTATTATATTAATTATTAAAATGTCATAATACAGTAGTTTTGATATCTTTAAATGTTACAGCTTTCAGCATTTTAGCTTTTGTTTTTTTTGGCCAATTTTGTGCCATCTTAAATATACCTTTAACATTGTTCGCAGGAATTATTCAACAATTCAACTCTTTTTTTAGTTCAATCAAATATGTGCAAAATGAGAGGTATAGGCCAGGTCATCTAACATTTAAAGTCTGATTGACAAACACAGGGCTGTCACTTTAAGTTCATTTGTAAAATGATCAGTTATTAAACCTGGTGTGACAAAGATATTGTTTATTAGTCATTGGAAATAGTAAAGGTTGTATTGATGGTTAATTTGTTTTCTTAAGTTGGTTTAGGACATCATTTAGAAAAATATTACCAAATTGTAGGTGTGGTATTTACCACGAACATTTTGTTGCTGAGTCATTTTCCCTTTGTTTAACACACGTGATCAGACAACGCGCCTCACCCCCAACATCACGTGATGTCTTTGTACGCGCTGTGTATTGACATGACTCGCTTTATCTTTGTCCACCTCCCCATGTAACATTTTCTTATTCTCGCACTATCGATCGGGCACACACACGCACGCTGTGCATCCGTCTGACCTGTGCACTCCAGTCTGACGGGGTCGTAGTCCTGGCCCGTCTTGCAGTAGCACTCATAACTGCCCACGGTGTCCAGACAGAAGCCCCCTTTACACACCTCCACGCCGAACAGTGTGCACTCGTCCGCATCTGAAAACAGGAGGAGAGAAAAAGGGACTAGACTCATCTGGACTAGAGAGAAGGACGGCGGTCCAATCAGCTGCGAGCCCTACGAGAGGGAAACCAAGATAGGACCCAGCACATCTACCCAGTCTCACCTTTGTAACTGTGTGTCTGTCCATAGGAAAGATCCACACTAGGAATAAATCCTCGTCCAGATGGACACATCTGGTCAAACTGGTCTGAAAGGGGACAGGGGAGACAAATGGAAGTTGAGTTGGCAATGTCATCAATGACATATGAAAGAGTGAGAAGACATTCGTTCACTGGCAGCCAATGGGGTGACACCTTCAAACCCCTGTGGACTAAAACTAATGATTGGTTTTTTTTGTTTTTTGTTTTTTTTTTAATCGCGCTTCTCTCCTCCATAACTCACCTGTTCCATTGACGGGGCAGGGATGTACCTCACAGTTGTCGCCCCAGCCGGCTCCCAGGGTGCAGCAGCACTCCTGCAGGGTGACGTGGCTGGTCAACACGCTCTCACACAGGTTCTCGTCATTTAAGTGGAAATAGCACTCCTTGCGCTCCACAGAGGACACTACACCAAGAAACGCAGCGCAGCACGAAGACGCATTTGTTGAAGAAAAAAAAAAGAAACAGATAGCGAAACGTGTTAAAATAGCGCCACACACTGGCAGTAAAGCTATTTAAACGATTTTGCCCAGTCTGGCCGAGACTTTAATTTTTATTTTAATTTAAATTTAAATTTATTATTATATTTATTATTCAAATAATATTACACATTATATTAATTAATATAATTAATATAATTATATTATATTAAATAATATAATAATAATATCCAAATAATATTTATTATTATAATAATATTTAAAAAATATTATTATATTATAATAATATAATAATAATAAATAATATTTATTATTTGGATTATTTATTTTAATTTTAATTTCAAACTAGTAAATCAACAAAAAAAAACCAAAAAAAATCAACAAAAAGGGTGGGTTCTAACATTCTTCTATAGCGCCCCCTGTTGCCCCCTTTCATTTCAATATATCTCCAAATTTTGTTCAAAACCACAAATTGAACAGTGGAAATCCGACCAAAGTGCCATTCTTATAAAACAGAACAAAAATATCAAATCTGTTTTTTCTGAGTGTAAGCCCGCACCAAAAAAGTTACCAAAATCTTTATAACGCTAAAGGGGGCTAAGGCCATTCTTAGGGGTGCTCAGGTGAGGGCGGGGGCCACGCAAAGTCCATACAGAAGGAGCATCATTTAGAGTGAGACATTTTTACCGAAAGACAAACGAGCAAGTCCCCCCCCCCCGAGTCAGGTCAATCATTTTGATAACAACACCACTTCCTTCTGTAATAACTTCACGCCGTCTAAAGCCGTTGTCCTGTCTGGAAGTGATTAGGGAGCCACATAATCACTTTCTAAGTGAAGCATTATGTAATGGTTAAAGGAAACCCTTTAAATGCTCCGTGTTCTTCTTCAGAACTTGGCCCGTTCGAGTCGAGGAAATGAGGTCATGAAAACACGGGTCTACGGCGATATCCGCGGGGGCCTCCGTCTGTTCTGTTCTAAACGCGGAGGTGGCTCACCTGTGGGAACAGGCTCACACTTGGCACTCATGGTGTTATACTCCTGGCCGCTTGGACACATGCAGAGGAAGGAGCCGTCCATGTTCACACACTGGGCCTCTCCACACACACTGCTCAGCAGGTCACACTCATTCACATCTGTGGAAAGAAGTCGACGCCTGTTAGTCAGGATAAAGGCAGCTTCGGATTTTCTTAGGGAAACATTATTGACATAAGTGTTTCCACACAGAGGAGTGTGAGTGAGTTGGAGATACATCATTAGGTTCATTTTTTAAATTTTTTTCTAATACATACATATGCGCCAGGGATGTAATGATATGGAAATGGTGCAGTTTTTACTGCAAAAAGAAGAGTAAAAAAAAAAAAGGAAAATATTATATACGTATATAAAGTGTCAAAAAAGTACGAAATGGACCTTTAGAGAACATGTCTTTAAGTTGAGTAGCACAGCTTCCTGATTGGAACCTGCCTATTATTTCTTTTTACTCTCAACAAGCTACAGTAATTTGAGTTTGTGTAAGTGTTAGCATGTAGCGCACGAGTGTCAAACTCAGGCTCGGGGGCTAAATCTGGCCCGCGGTGTAATTATATTTGGGCCGCGAGATCATTTTAAATGTGTACCAGAGTTGGCCCGCGAGTATATACAGTAGCTACTATATACTGGCAGGATTTGTAGTATTAGCGGTACATAATAAGAAACAAATATCACTGATGTGTGTTTTATTTCAGATTTAATTTCTCATGTGTTTATAATATTAAACTTTAGTTGTTCCAGATTCAGTGTTTACGATGAAAAAAAGAAAAAAAAATTTTCAATAAATATTACATTTTTAATTTAAGGATAACACTTTTTCTTCGGTCGGTGTTTGAGTGTGGGTGGATTTGACTGATATAAAAGGGAAGGAGAAAAAAAACGTATGTATGTATTGATAGAGTTTTGAGTGGATCTTTTTGAGTTTCCCTGTGAAGCGCGTGTGCACCGAGACATGTTGAGCGTAGTCGGCACTGATGGCGTGGTGCTGGCGAACCGGCCAGGGGTGACGACACAGTGTCAGAAGCAGAAAAACAAAAAAGAACGATTGGGACACACATTGGGTTAGCGGTACACCGCCGGTGGGCCGCGTATGTGTGTGTTTAAGTGAGTCCTGTGTCTGCGCTAGCCGCAGTGTAGTGATGGTTTGGCAAAAAAAAAAAAAAAAAAAAAAGTTGTGGAGGCGGCCGGCCCGGGGCGCGGCGGGGCGCGGGGGGGGCCCCGCTGTCTGTAGAGACAGTGGTAGTTGCGGTAGCTTTGGTGGGATTGGCCACTGGGTGTGCATGTGTGTGTTTTTAGGGAGCGGGGATCACATCGGCCCGAGGGTAGCAGGAGAAGTGATCAGACAGTCCATCCCCAAACCAGTGGGAAAACCCACAGAATTTCAATGCAGTTCTGTGTATTTCGGACCGACATGTCGTGTCCCCGATGCTCAGCAATATTTGTTTTAAAGATTACGCGAGAAAGAGAGGCAACTGGGGCCAAACGTAACAGGAGCAAATAACAGCAGCAGCTCCTAAAGAGTAAAACAGCCTCGAAACGTAGCATATATCCTTACAGTGACGCGGACGGGAATGGAAGAAATCTGTAATTCTTTAAATATTCAGGTAATGAATGGGTTTTGTGCGAATGAAATTAAACAAGGCGACAATAAATAATAAATACCTAATGAATACCCACATTTAAGAATGACAATCACGGCCATTCTGTAAGTTTAACAAAGTACAAGTACACACTCACACGCTCAGATTTCTGAAAGTTCAGGCGCCGACATGTTTTCAAAGCCGTAAATATTGCATCACGCTGCGGCGCTTTATCAGAAAATCACTCTCGCCAACAGCTCATAAAACAGAAGTGGTTTTAAAACGTCGCCGTCTTTGAGCGTGTTTTAAACGTGCGCCTAGGTATCACGGAGCTGCTGCGGCCCGTAATGTTCTTAAATTACATCCCAAGGAAGGAACTACAAGACCACATCCTCCAAATGAGTCAAAGGACATCTGTGTTGAGAACAGTAATAAATGTGAGCATCTGGGATGCCACAACTTTCCAGAGCCTTGTCTGAGGGGAAACCTCCCCTGGTTTTTTAAAAAAGAGTGGAAATGAAAAAAAAAAATTCCGGAGTCTGACAGATTTCTGGTCCTGCTGGTGAAAGTGTAGCTCGTCCTGTTGTTATTTTTAGGATTTCCCCTCTAGTCAGTGAGGAGCAATCACTCCTCAAAGGATGTTAGCATTAGCAAAATAATAAATAAATGATCATTATTTGGTACCTCACCTTGATGGACAGACACTCAAATAAAGTTAAATAAAAATCATATTTTGTTTAACATTATTATTTGGTGTGTATTTCGGAATCCAGACACAGCTAAATTGGATGGTCCCTCAGCCCGATACGGCCCACGGGCCACCAGTTTATTATCCCCGCTGTACACAGTCTTGCCTATATTCTGGTGCGGTGCAGTTACTGCCTTTACAACTAAACCTAACCATCAAACTGCGGTTTTATTACAGTTAGTTACGATTAGTCACTCCGGTCACGATACGATATGATTCACGATTTTTTTTTTTTTTTTTTTCAAAATGAGCATCGGACAAATTATGACCAAATACAATGATCCTTTATTTGTTAGAACTATTCAAAATACCATTACCAACTAAAATGGTCGTGTGTAGCTCATAAACTCAAATCATATGTGTCAAACTCAAGGCCCGCGGGCCAAATGTGGTCCGTCAAATCATTTTGTGTGGCCCGCTAGAGCTTAATAAGTGTCTATTTTTTTTATTTCTCAGAAAAATGAACAATATTTGTTACTTGAATAAATGATAATCAATTGCAAAAACATGTATTAATACGTATTTATTTGTAGTCTAACGGTTACAACCGGCCATCCTAGAGAAATTATATTGCTGATGTGGCCTTTTGGTGAAAATTAATTTGACCCTCCTGACCTAAATCCTTAAATAACATAATAAAAAAAAAAGTTTAAAAAAAAAAAAATCAAAACTTACCCACACATCCTTGTCCATCCAGGGTTTCCTGGTATCCCTGGTCACAGAGACACACAAAGGATCCCAGTCTGTTCTCGCAGAAGCCGTGTGAGCCGCACAGCGTCTCATTGAGACCGCACTCATCGACATCTGTGGAGCAAACCAGGACGCCAAGCATCAAGCATCAATCGCCAGCGAGTTGATCCATATTCATAGTTTACAGCATTGTTTCCCAAACACTGGGTCGCGACCCTCAGGTGTTTCCTAGGAGTTTTACGAATAACGTCTATTGACTTGGGTCGCGAAGGTTTGTGACTTTTAAAATATGGGTCCCCAGAAAAAAAAGCTTGGAAACACAGTATATCATAACATTAAGACAAGGTTTATAACATGTGGATGAAACAACCTGAAACTCGTCAACGGCAAATTACTAATTGTCCTCTTATTATGTAAAATTTGTGCTTAGGGAGGAACTGCAGTTCTGTATGAGACAGTCAGGAGTGGCAGAAAAGTATGTGAGGGTAATGCAGGACGTGTATAAGGCTAGCAGGTTGTTAAGTGTGCCGTCAGAATGACTAAGAGGTTAAGGTAGTGGTGGAGTTGCATCAGGAATCAGCTCTGAGCCCCCCTTTGGTTTGCAGTGGTGATGAACAGGTTGACAGGTGAGGTCAGGGTGGGGGTCCATGGACCATGATGTTTGCTGATGACATTGTCATCTGTGGTGAGAGTCGGGAGCAGGTGGAGGAAGAACCGGAGAGGTGGAGGTTTGATATGGACAGAAGAGGAGTGAAGGTCAGAACTGTATGAACAGTGAGGGGAGTGGAGAGAATAAAGATGTGAGATGGAGGTAGTAAAAGGTGGGTGAATTCATGGGCTTAGGACAAACCATCAGGGGCAGGGGTGCCAAACATACGGCCCGTGGGCCAAAAGTGGCCCGCTAGGTGGTTTCAATCTGGCCCGTTTGATATATTTTGAAAGTGAGAAAATGGAAGTGGAAAACACTTCAAGTTAGTGATATATATTTTCCAAATATATTTCATTAAATATGAATATTTTCGAATTTACTCTTATACTCATTTGCAGAGGGACAGTTTAGGTGCAGTCGTTTGGAGATTAGAAGTTAGAGAGGCCAACTTTGGACATGAGGATGAGGAGAGATATTTTGCGGTTGGAGATGGAGTTGTACAACATAATAACATTTTAAAAATATGCCAATAAAGTCATATTTATTTGTTATTATTATTACTGATGATGTTGAACTTGATGTTGAGGAGCAACGATTTAGGCAACATATTTGATAGTTTCCACTCACTGAGACCTAGAACGTTCAACCTAATTGATCCAACAGTGTTTTGCAGTCAACACAAACCTTTCCAAAATGATCTGAAATATACTTCATTTCACCTTTACCTATTGCTGAAATTCAAACCTTACTACTTGTTGTTGTTTTTTTATATTGTATCCTGCTAAATTATTTGTTGGAACAACGTGTCCAAACGGCCAACCTTTCCTCAGTCTTTACCTCCGTAAACATACCCTGATATATACCACCATTGATAAACAGAAACACACACACACACACCTGCACACGGTAAGACCCCTGAATAAATCATGAAGCACAGAGCATCAAATATCCTTCCTTGTCTAGACATTCTGCTCAAAGACTTCCATCTGTTTCTTCCCCCCCCCCTGTGTTTTTCTGCCGTGGCAGGAGAGGGCATTGAAACAGCTCGAGTTATAGAAAACAGAGTTACAAATGCAGACTCAGAATCAGAGGAGATTTTTTTTTTCTTCACCTTTCGGTCTT